AATCCTCTCCCAGGGGTAGGGGCAAACATCCTCACGGAGGGGGGGAGGGGGGATCCGAGCCGACTTCCTCAACAAAACCACGTCGGCGTCATGCAGTGTAATGGGCTCGCCGGGGAAGACCGCGTCGACGTCGGGCCAACACCGAGGGGGACGATTCCAGTAACCCTCGCGCACAGGTATGTCCTTTTCAACCTCGGCGCCCCCTCATGATTATCCCTCCGCAAAACCAAACGTTCGGCCAAAATCGGATCCCAGCGAAAGTACCCCAATGCTAATTCCATGTCGAACACCTCGTCAGAAATAGCCCCGCGGACTGCCTCGTCGGAGATAGTTCTGTTGCTACTTGTCGTCACTTGTTCCTCCATCTCGGGACTCGGCAAAATCTCGGAGAGCAAAGTAATAGAAATAAAAAAATGATGTAGTTAGAAGAACTCACCACGAAAAAACGATTAGCTGACAAAAGTTCTGGACGTCTGAGGTCAGAGGAACAGAGAAGTGAAGATTAGAAGGAAATAGCGAAAGATTGAGGGAACAAAGTGAATAACTCCAAAAAACTGGGAAAAGGAGAATTTATAAGGAAGTTTTGTGACCTTGGAGACGAACTGACGTTTGGAACCGTCACGATCGAAAAACTGGAATGATCAACATTGCCTTCCATAAATAACACGCGAACCAATGAAGGCCCACCATGTGGGCAAAGTTATGGAGATTGTGGGAACGTGTCGTGAACAGACGTAACCGCCTGGGAAAAGAATCGGCGAGCGTGTCGACACGTAAAAACACACGCTATTAAAGAGAAAGGAAACCAAAGGGAGTAGCGGTCGAAATCTTAGCTAAGGGTCAGAGGTCGGCCGAAGTAACCCTGAGGAGGACGTCGTCAAAGAGGAATATGGCATTAAGAGACACCATAGCTCATGTCCCTCTTAATGTCAAGGGCCTCTATGATGGTATAAAAATCACCCCACGGCTCGGATTGGTGACACGTGTATGGTATGAAAAATAAGACAGAGAAGCCGAAAGTAAGAGAAAGTGCCTCGGGACAACGGGCGAGCCGACTTCAACAAATAGGTCGACCTCGATCAGGTGATAGTCCCCAAAGGACCGACGTCCACCGCAGACCGCATTAAATGCCCGTCCATCAAACGTCTCAACCCACGTGAAGACATCATTGCAGGGGGACCCATTTACTAAAAAAGTTGCACCTATGTTGTCACAACGCATTAAATGCCGCCGAATCTCCTCAAAAGGCGGGCCGAAAGTTACTATAAATAGAAGAATTAAACTCGATACGAGGATTTGTCGGAAACATTAAATTCTGCATTTATCACCTCAGTTCTAAACAGAAGCCGACTTCCTGTATTAAAAACCCCACCTCGTGTTCGAAGTACCGACTTGTAACTCCTTAGAAAAACGTCGTATTCCATTAATAAAACCACCTCAATCCTATCTCAATCTATAATATTTCACATTTAAATAGTTGATCAAATCCGTTTATCAACAACTACTTTAGTGGAGTGTATGTATTATTCCTATTTGGGTTTGGTAGGCTTGGCCTAT